CCTGAATAAGTAACAAAAATATGGGAAATTGGTAACTTGAGAGATTAGCTATCCAGCTCCTCTGGTCAAAGAAGATGGACAGCAGGCAGCTGCCAGGGCACACATCTAGGAGAATGAAGAAGTTTCATTTCTCAGAAAGGTTAGCAGCCTCACAAGAGATGAGAGCCCAGGGAGATCCCTGGGAAGTTCTGAGCAAGAGGCCATTTTGTCCGTGTGGAGGCAGTGTCTGCAGAATGTCTGGGCTGACACAACTTCCTGGGGCTGCCGCTGGAACCTAGCAAGTAAAGGTCAAGGACGCTACTGAACGATGTACAACGCATCAGCAAAGAACATCCACAGCCAAGTTTCTTCATCCAAATGTCAGTAGGGTAGAGGTTGGGCAACCTGCCGAAGATGTTTCCTAAACTCCTAAGGTGATAGCTTGAGAACTGATTGATTAATTGGGTAAATGAGGTGAGTTTGGGGGACCAGCAATAGGAAGGAATATGAAGTCTCAGTCTAGTTCTCTGACAATTAAGTTCTGAAACAGTTTTAGAAAGCAAAGATGAAATTGACAGGGCAGGGGCAGCATCAAAAGAGCAATGGCAGCCTAAACACTGAGGAGATGGGAACTTCTGAGTCTTTTGCTATTCATAACTTACGTGACATTCAGTGTCCCCAAATTAGATGTCACACAGTAACAATGGTTTGCGGACTTACTTTTTTAAACTCTCACAGACTTAAAGTTCAGATTAACTGGCAGCATTCAAATATTGGGAAATTTTCTATCATGAGGCAGATTCATTTGTAGGGAACAAGCTAAAAAATAAAACTGAAAACAATACCATATATTCCCCCAAGAGTTAGTGCCTGCTGAATAATGGCTGCTACTCTGGCAGGGAATAATTACTCTGCTTCCTCACTGGGATGGCTTCAGTAGGTTACATTATCTGCTAGCTTCTGCAGCAATTCAGTTTTACCTTCTGTCTTAAAAGATTATATCCATGCTCTTTTTACCTCACTCATCAGGATGATGCCATACAATGAGAATGTGTTTCAGAATATGATTTGCAATTTTGCCTAGATTACTTTTCATCAAATCAATTTTGTACTATCTTTTGGCCCCTTTTATTTTAATCACAATATTGACTTTTCTATGCCTTTCTTTAATTTTTTTTCACTTAATCACAAGGTGACTAAAGAGTGAAGAAGACACACATGGTCTTATTTTACCCACTGCGGTAGAGACACACAAGATCATTTCCTATCCATTTTATCAGCTCGTTCATTTTCAGAATATAAGACATGAATGAAAATGCCCCCTAAACACATACTTTGACCACTGCGAAAGTGAAATGCCAAAGACAATTTACTGAAATCTGTATAAAATAGATTTTAGAATAAAAATACTTACTGCTGATATTGAAAGTATTTATAGCCAAATTGCAAATAGGTATTTTACAACATCAGAATGAGTCATTCGGAGGTCACACACATTTGACACTTTGCATAATATCTTGTTCAAATCCATGCACCAAAGGAAATTGATTAGTTTTGATATTCATAAACTATAGGTGAAGTTTTACACTGTCTATTCCTTGCAGAAGAAAATTGCAATCATTCATCTCAAATGTAAGAATGAACTGGCTATTTAGAATATAGTTATTCTATTTCTATAGAATGACTGTTCTACACTTTTGGAATCAAGGTATATTTATACTCGTACAAACTATTTAAAAATCTACTGAGTTGTTTTTGTACATTATATTTACCTATGTTTACCGTATGAAAGACTAAATTTAGAAATTTTTAGACTGAGTTAAAATTTATCAAATATCAATATTCCATTATACAGTGATACACACAGCATATCTTTGTGATAAGTAACTATATTTTCCAAAACAAAAATCTCAGTGAGAATTAAAAAAAATCTCTTTGCCTCTATTAATTGAAAGTAGTTTGATTATCTTATGTGCTTATACACTTAATTACTTATGTTATATCATTTTGGGTAAAGTCTACAAAAAAAAAATCCAGCCACACACATCGCTGGAAAGGGGAACAAATCAAAGTTCGGTCATGGACCCCTTTGAAAGAATTTTAGGGACTGTTGTCCCAACATTGTTGGCTTATAATTTCCCTTTGGGGACTGCAATGCTAATTTTGTATAGAGTATTATCCCCACATATTTAATTCAACATTATGTGTTTCCGTGAAAGTACTGTCTTGTGGGTGTGATCAAAGTATCTGATCGTTGCAGCATCCCTGGATTTTAAACAGGGAGGTTATCCTAAGAAATCTGTGGGCATCTGCTTCCGCCGGTTAAAAAGCCATCGAAACCGAAATGAGACTTCCCAGAAGAAGTCGCATCTTGGATATGAGCTGTAGCTCTTCTTGAGGATTCCCTCCTCCCCTTACTGGTGGCCTGTGCATTGCATACTGTGCAGGGCCAATTCCTTGCAACAAAGCTGTTAACTTTTTTCTTCTCTCTCTCTTCTGTCCCCTCTTTTTTTTCTTTTGACAGGGTCTCACTATGTAGCCCAGGCTGGACTAGAACTTAAGACCCTCCTGCCTTGATCTCCCAAGTACTGAGATTATAGGTATGACTTACATAATTGGTTTAATATGATAATTACGTAAAGTCCACAAACCAGACACAGTCACTGTCAGCTTTAGAGGGGAAATTTATCAAATGGCCACAGCCATCTCCAGCGCTTAGTCCTGATTCCTAAATTCCTGGTTCCTATTCCGAACTTTTATCAACTTCTACCCTTTAGCGCAATAACCTTCTAATATGTGTGAAAGGATATTTATAGATATTGATGCATATATCACTTCATACACACATACCACAAAAGGTTCTTCGGAAGTGTTAAGTGGATCTAAAACATCACTGTATATATACCAAAAACCAGACATATCAAATAATATTTTTTCCTATCTATTTCTAAGCTATGAGTGAAAGAACAATAAAAGGAAAACCAGGGCTTTGTTTTGTATTCACAGAGCTTATTTTTTTTTCCACAGAGCTTATAATTCATCTGGGGAAGAGAACATTATTTCTTGAGATTTGAGACGAGAGTTGATAAAATACCAGAAAGCTGATTCCACCAGCACTTTTTTGAGCCTCAGACTGGCATAGGGCCTTCCACATATTTTTCAGCTACTCATATTACTGAATGGACTTTTCATCCATATGTGATGCCATCATTTGTCAGCGAGTTTGTGGAAAACTGGGCTGATGACCAATCAGCGGTTGACTGATGTTGGCAGGGGGATCGATGGCTGGGAATACAGAGAATGGGTGAAGAAAGGGGAAAAGTCAGCAGAAGCGGCAAAATGAAATAACTGAGAGAATACGACTTTCAAAAGGGGAATAAAAGAGAACTGATCTTGCCAGAGATGTGGGTATGTGTTAAGGAGGAACAAGAAATTGTTGTGAATACCTGAAAGATCTCCAGTTTTTGCAACACTGACGAAAGAGCATGTATTTCCTCATAAGCAAGAGAGGGCATAGTATCTTCACTAAGCTTAGGCGAGGTAGATCTGAGTGTGTATCCTCCCTCTGCCACGTACTAGCTCTGTGTTCTTTGATGCATTACTTACCTCTTTGGGTCTCAGTTTCTACATCTGTGAGATTTTGACTTTCATTTTATGACACATACCAAACAAGGACTATTACTAGGCAGCTTCCCATACAGCCAAAATATCAATAGGATAAATCTTACATTTTCTCAAAACTATACAATTTTAGTAATCTGTATTTACTGAAAAGCGAAGACAAGCAGATCTCCATGTATCATATGTTAGACTTAGCTTGGGAGGGTAGCACTCAGGAGAATTACGATATAGTTGTTTCTTAGTTTAAACCAGAATTCTAGTCTCACAGATTAGAGGTGTATATGTGTTTGTGTTGGAGGGTGATAGATGTGAATCTCCCTTTAAAAACTTTTTTTTTAATTTTGAGTTTTGTAGAAATCATTGATAGGGTCAGTTTATAGAAATATGGAGGAAAAAATGAAAGCATGGGGAAATCACATAATCACGTTTTAAAATAATTTACTGCTCACTGAATTCGTGTACTCAAATGATTTCTAGGTGGAATAGGTGAATTTTCTCAACATGCATTTTTGTTAGGCTTTGTAGCTATCCATCATCACACATTTGTAACATAGCTGCTTGGGGAAGAGGTAGAATGAGACCTGGGAATAAGTAGATGCAATCTTCATCTAAAAATAAAAGCTTTGTACTAATTAGATGTGCTAATTAGAAGTGCATGTGGATCACATTCTAAAACTTCTAAGTCAGAGGTAACTATGAATTGACAGTTAAAGAACGACCTTGGCCAAAACAAGAGAAGATGAAATAGAGCCTTATAGTTTATGTGAGCTGTTATCAGCATATCATAGACAAGGATTAAATCATGTGCTTGAGGTCATATATCAGCATCCCAGCCAAGACTATCTTATAACTTCTAGAAATGCGTGTGCTTCCTCCACTTCACACTATTTTATTGAGGTCACCAAAATGTCTTTCTATTAAACTTGTTTTGTCCCCAATGCAAACAACTTAAACAAAACAAGAATTTATGAGGTCCCGGAGCAGCAAGGTCCAGAGATCTATGAGTTCCAAAAATGACATCAGCTTGGAAACTTCAGACAGAGAGACAGACAAATGCACGCACATGTGCACACACAGATGCAATGTAGAAAACTAAACAGAAAGTCCTTCCTGACAATATTTACATTGCTGGGAAGACTCTGATTGGCTCATTGTGAGATGTGTACTCATCTCTAGACCAATCACTGTTTCATGGGGATGGATACTCTTCATTCACCAGATCATGTGAAGAACCCCGTGTCAAAGTAAATACTTTTAACCACGTGGAGTGCATACATTACAAGAAAGGGAATTTTCTAATCAGCAGGTCAGAGATTCTTTGGGCCCTGACAAACAAATGTATATTACAATCATTATAAATGTAACCTCGTGGAAGAAAATACACAAGAGCAGAAACTTACCAAGGACAGGAATACAACGTGGGGTAGAGTGTCGTTTTTCTTCTAAATGACTGACATCAAAATCTGTAAAAGATAAAGGAAATTTTTATTTCTGCAGATGGAAGACCGATTCACCATGGTTTCCATCTGGAGAATCTTTTCCATACACACTGTTAGTATATTAAATGTTTTCTATTCATAGACCACTGCCTGGAATTTCATGAATGTTAGTTCCCTTCCTTTGCACATATAGTCAACATATGTTGTTCGATTCATGAAAAGGCCAAGGTTATCCCATTTATTAGCACAGGCTATGAAGATATCTGTGGAGATAAATCCAGTGTCATTTAGGTTATGGAATCAAAGAGTTAAAAACCCATTTTCAGTGTTTAGGATTTTGACTGCCACTGTTCCCTAAATGGTAATCCTTTGCTCTTGGGATTTCACAACACATATTTCCTGCTTTCTGAAGACCATGCAGGCCTGCATATTCTGACTTTATGATTTCAACTCACATGCATCTGGATTAATTTGGCTTTAGATGGACACAGTATGGAATCTGACAAAATCAGGGATCTATGCTGTCATGTTTGAACAAAACCAAAGATTTAAGTGGAGGGCAAATTGTCCGGAAATCATCAGAAGAGTAAAAGTGAGGCATGAGTACCTTTGTGGATTTAATAACACTTATCAAAGTTAAAGAAGCAGTGTATAATTATAGATAGGAATTACAGCTTTTAAATTAAACAGTTCTGGGTTCAAGTTCTTAGTTCTCACTAGCTGTGTATCATAGGCAACATTTTTTTTTTTTTACCTCTTTGAACTTTAGTTCCTTACCTGTGATGTGGGTGCAATGCTACCAGCTAATAGATAATTCATATATAGTGCTTGGTGCCCTATAAGCTCCAAGATTATCTATTGTTTGATCCTAATTTATAAATGGGTGACAGAATAAAGTCAGAAGGGAAATAACACATAATACAGTTCCTAAACCATAGTAGGTAAGTTAAGGTAGTTGTGGAAATGAATGCTAATTTTCACTGACAGAGGTGCTTATCTTTTCTATTTTCTCCAAGCATCTTCCCTAAATTTCTTTAGTCTCACGATCCAACTCCCTTTGGACTTTGCATAATCACAGGCAGATTTATTTCTTAATTATAGATTACTCCCAGCATAAGCTGTTGCATTAATATTCTCTGCACTTTGAATTTAAGCAAGTTTTCTGTAGGAATTACATCTTGCTTTTTATTTATTCTATATTATACCATCCTTTGCTTAAACTAATCAATATTAGTCAGGGGAGGGGAAAGAAGTTCTTTTTCTCCTCCAATTCTTTAAAATCAGACTAGATTGTTTTACATAAATTGGCGACAAACCCACATTTGAGTAAATGCTAGGTATATGGATTGGAATGAGAAAACTTCTTACTGCACTGCAAATCTTCTCAAGGTCTCTTTTTGTAAAGATGTGCGTAAAGTCCATAAATATCAAATCCTTCTTCATCCACTCTCACAAAAGCCCACATAAGCATGTTAATAGCATGTTACTGCTATTAACATTTCAGGATTCTTCTACATAGAAGGCAGGGGAGAAAAGGATCACGGGAGGAGAAGGAATTTCTGGTAACTCTGGTATGTGTGCTTAGGGTCATTGTTGACAGCAGGCAGGAGGCAGGATGGTCACTCAGTGCAATGAGCAGCACTTGTGGTACAGTGTCTTCTGGGACTTTGCAGTTAGAGTAGCAGGATCTCACTGCCAGTGTGACATTTTCAATAGGTTTAAGCTCAGTAAGATGTTTCCCTGATACCTTTCCTGCACAGCACGAGGGTTCAGAGGGGTTGGAAATAAGGATGTGTCAGGTTGGGCTTCAACAGTAGGAAGAGCACAGGTGCCACAAATTTCCTTAGTACCCAGCGAGCCCTGGGAAACAGCTCCAAAACCGTACCATACCTCTCCAGAACTTCTCACCATCCTACCACACCTCAGTCAGCAGCCCCGTTTCTTGCTATCACCTAGCTGTGTTTTCTAGTGGTTGATGCCTTCTGTGTCAGCTGCATATCATGCTGATTTGAGAGCTCTGATTTCCAGCATTGGTTCTGGCTTTTGCTACCTGTGCAGGGTAAGAATCCCACTTTTGCCATTATGTCAGCGATAGTAGACACAGGTTTCTAACTGTATGTTTATAAGCAGCTCTCACTCCAATTCTATGTTCAAACAAGCTGAACTGGGCCAAATACTATGAATTGAGAACTCTTCTTGATTTTTCATCAACCTCAGTAGGGATTAATATTCTATAATCCTTAATATTTTCTAATCAATTTTTCTGGGAAAGTCTGTGGGAAGGATGCATTCAGATTAGCTTTATGAGGCTCAAAGTTCAGATTGTCATATATTCTCATTTTTTTATATTCTAATGTTTCTGGAATTGTTCTTCCTTTTACACTTGATGTATATCTTTAATAAAATATTTTTAATTCCAAAATGTTACAGTGAAATAACCGTGAAGATTACAATTGATGTTATCTTAAACGCAAGATATACAATAGTACTACACCCCCTGTTACATGAGATAGTCTTATGCACAGTTTATGGCTTGGTTTTATATTTTGCTGCATGTATCCTATTGAATAGAACTAAGAGATGATAATATTCTTGAGAACTATGAAAACCAACTACATTCTGAGAATCATAAAGTGAGGGGAGCATTAAGCTTGGATTGCAGTTATGTCTGCCCTACAAAAGGTCCTCCACAAAAACAGTAACAGCTTTTTCTCACGAAGAGAAGCCACTGGACCATTATCACAGGTAAAGTGAAGTAGCAGCTGATTTTACACCCAAGGGTGAATGGTTGTTTGCCTTTTCTCCTTAAATTCTTCTGGTTTCCTCATCAGTGGGACATATAGACCAGTTAGTTATAATGGAAGGGAAAACCTATCTATAGTCCATTTTACTCCTTTTCCCTTTTCTTTCTTGTCTAATTTGACAGATAAATATCTCCACATGGTTCACAGCAATGCTTCGGATAGTTTCTCTGATCTATGTACAACACTGAGTTGGTGAATCCCCCACTGTAAATTCTGTAATTTTCTTAGGAAAAAAAAGAACCTTGCATATTTTCTAACCAGACCTTATTTCTAAAGGATATGAACATTATTAGACACAATTTTATATTCCAACATGAAATATACTTTCTTAAATTCTCTTCTTAGCCACAAAAAGAAAAAAAAGGCATACTATATATTTCTGGAAATCAGAGGCCAGACTATTTTGAATTCATAAAGCAACGTCTCTCACTTCTCAACATGTCAACTACTACCACCCTAAATTCTGGGAAAGCTAATGACTTGGTATAAAACCATAAACAAATGAGTATTAAGACTTACCAATATTATACCTTAGGCATCGCTTTTCCTTCCCATGACTATTTGGTAGGGAATATCATGGAATTCATATCTAGGCAAACTAAGAGAATCAAAGGGTCCTCAATAGTGGTTGAAACCAGAACACTGTTAAGAGTAAAATTTACAACTATTCAATAAACAAGGAAGCCAAGAATTTCCTATAGGTGTTGTGTGAATTTCCTATAGGCAACTCCTGGGGGAAAATATGCATTCAAATTAATTCAGACAGATGTAATTCTATTTTTTTTTTTTTTTTGGTACCAGGGATTGAACTCAGATCCTTGCGCTTGCAAGGCAGGCCACTGAACTGCTGAGCTAAATCCCCGGCCCTACTTTTCTTTTCTTTTCTTTTTTGTTTTTTTCTGATAGATGTAATTCTAATTTTATCTCTGCCACCTGTTACTGGCTATTTGACCCTCAAAAGCTACCTTATCCTTCAACTTTAATCTCTTCAACTGCAATATAAGAATCACCATAACTACATAGGGATAAATTTTACTCACACACATATATATGTAAGCTATGAGTGTGTACATATGGTACCACACTGTCTGTATACATATACTAAATCTGGCATAATAACTACTCAAACAGCAGTTGCCATCATTACTGTACTCTGCCTAACACAACCATAAACTCAGGCACTTTGCAGCTCTCATTTTTTGCCATCAACATGATAAATGCATAGTGCAATTTATCTCCTAGACTATGATTGTTATCACCTCACTTCCACCTCCTAATTGATAAAGACAAAGGGAATTGTTAGGATTAAACACAAAAGTCACAAAAATGACTCATTTGTAGGAAATACTACTTGTGAGACAGATTAATTGTCTATTTACTATAGTTGGGAAGGAAAATTGTAAACAAATTTATCTGTAAGCCCCACCATTTAAAAATCCCCCTGTACTTCTGCTTTTTAATTCCCCATGTGAGCAGTTTTGAAGCCAACACTCCACCCTGAAAAGCTTGAACAGACTGAACGAGCAACAGCTCTTCTTGGATCTGTAGGATGTGAGGACTCAGGTGCACCTCTGCTCCCTGGATAGAGACAGCCAGATACACACAGGGAAGCAGGGCTCACCAGAGCAGAGTGTGAAATGCCTGCTGCTGTGGACGCAAGTACCAGGCTAGGAAAACCTGAAGGGTAACTGGCAAATTGCTTGAGACTTAGTGTGCTCAACTCTGAGAATTAAATTCCAGGAGGAGCTAATGATGGGGGCCTCCATACCTACAAGAGTTTTACCTCCAGTAATTTAACCATGTTCTTATAGTAGATAATAGAGAAAAATTCCATTCTCCTGTCAGCAAGAGGTGAAAAGGGTCAGTCCACTCTTGTAAACAAAGTCTGCTCTCAGAAGAAACTATAGTCTGTTGGAGTTTCATCAGAGCTTTACTAACACTGGGGAGCAAAAATATCCAACTCACTCCAGCCTTTCTCATGGGAAAATGGAAACTCAGTGTGAGTTAATGGTGGCCATCCTTTCTCGTGTAAGAGGAAAGAAAAAAATTGAGATACATTTGTGAGGTTCACAGTCCAGAAACACAAAGTGAATAAAAGTTTGGAACTGCATTCTAGGATGACAGGACAATTTTCCTCCATCCACATCTTACCACTATATTATTAAAGGTCCTATTTGTAGGTGCTCTTTTTACCTGCACATCATGTCCAGCTATCATTAA